AACAGTCGTGCGACGTCACACACCAGTAAGACGCCATATTGTCCAGAAAAACGTTTTCGCGGCAACTTGAAAGTGGAATTTTTGATTTGGTTATTTTTACTGAAATACACAACAGAATGATGAATATCCACTTTTTACGGACTCCATAAACATTAGTCAATAACGTGAGATCGTTTTCTAAAACTTGTCAAATACCCTATTGCATTAATGAGATTTTTTTATGTTTAAAACTGTAGCAAAGAAGCGCTTATAGCGCGCGCTCGAACTACCAGGAGTGCATAGCTTGCACGGAATGTCGCGGCCTCCGAAATACAGACTTGAACAGATCCTACAATCTGGGGTTTTTTAAGAGAGACGTGAAGAAGCATTTTTGCAGGCCGGCAAGGTGAGGATGGTTCGCGGCTATCTTCGCGTTTGGACTTTATCATCACTTCACGTCAGGTGGGGTAGAGTCATTTGTCTACCTGGCTATATACAAAAAAAAATGATGTGGTGCCGTGGGACACCAGGTAGGAACGAAGTTCCTTCGGCTAATGTAGAATCGACACAAATTGCAAAAAAAATCGTGGCTACTCACGAGTAAAATGTATCTATAATGTGAGTATTCGCCACGTGCTTGTCCATGAATTCATGAGTATATACTATGCATTGGCGGGGTGGAGTGGTAATAGAAAGAGAAGGGATGAGAGAACGAAAAGAAAGAGGGAGAAAGAGAAAGGTATTATACATTACTCGCTTGTGTATGCGACTGTCGCGCCTGCACGTCTTATTTAACGGTTTTATTCCACGCACTTTTTTCCACGGATTTTTTTCCACGGATTTTTTCTTACGGTTTTACTATCACATTTTTTTCAGTTCAGTCGCGCAGCAAAATCCCTATCCCCTCCAAGCCTGCCGTAAGGAACTTCGTTCCAAAAACTGCGGCTGTCTGCGCATGTTCATTCCTGAATGGCTCTTTCGCCTGCGTCAATGCCACGAACGAATAGTGACTAAGCGGCTTATCACGTGACGCGCGCGCACCAATGGCATCACTCCGTTTTAACGCATTCTACTCCAACAAGATGAAAACAATGCCTTTTGCATGCGTATCGTAATCAGTGCGTAATATTTTTAAAGAAAAACAAATTTTAACATTGGCCTGTATTTATATATTAGAAATGTGTAAATTTTTAAGATGTCATATGTCTGAATTCCCAAAGATCTCTGACAAGAGAGCTAGAATAACCCCGATGAGACGTGAAGACAAATTACATTTACCTCGGTCAGATTCAGCAATATTTGAAAAAAGTACTTATATGTCTGCCATCCGAATATACAACAATTTACCGCCTTATCTGCGGTCACTTCCGGAATATAAGTTTGTAAGGTCGCTGAAGCAATGAAAAACTATTAATATAATGCATTTTATAATCTTAATGAATATTTTAATAATAATGTTTTATAAAAATGACTATTGCATGCCCGATTAGGGTAACTGTCTATTTCAATTATGTGCACTAACATCTAGCAGTAATACTAAATGTAACAGTTTTGCAATAAAGAATTATTCTATTCTATTTGCGCATTGGTCATCTTTAGCGAACCGTACTGTACTTAGGCAGTTGTCTCACCGCTGGCGAGAAAGCGACTAACTATACGCTATTTTCTCGTTTAAGAAACGTATAATGCGCTGTAATAACAGTGCGACTGACTTAGTACAGCTTCATTACGCGATTACCAAGTGTACGAGATTTCTATTTATCTCGTATTATCTAAAGACAGTGCTAAATCTCAAACTGGCACACAATGGGCCATGCACGGCCATGCGCCACGATCGGCCAGCTTCGCTGCATCGCGAAACGGCGTTTACACAAATGGGCCACGGCTCACTGTTGCCTGGCGAAACACTCGTGATGGACGTGGAAGTAATAGGGGTGATGACGGGGTACAGTAAACGAAATTCTATTTAGTCCGTCAGTTAGATATATGATCAAAAAATAATGGACACGTATTTTTTCTTTGGGCAATCAACCAAAAAATGACAAAGTTATAGCGCGTCAATTTGGGAGTAGGGGCTCGTGACGTCACTTTTGAGTGAATTTTCACTTATAAGTGTACTCAAACGTGACGTCATGCGACTTTTCAAATCAATATATCTCTGCAATGTTTATATTATATGAAAAAAGAAAAAATACGTGTCCAATACTTTTTGATAATCTACCTGATAAACGGTGAAAAAAAAATTAGTCATCATCCCTATTACGGCCGCCTCTATTTATTTATATTCTGCTTACAAATATTATAGAAGTGTGTACCGCAACAAAGTTATAAAAAAAATGGCGCAGAAGACGGTGGTGGATGCTGACAATCCACCGTAACAGGACAAAGTACGTATGTTTCTTCGTTGCTCCACGATATTGGCATTTTTTTTTGTTTCATCAAAATAATAATCACTGAGCAAGTAAAGTAACTTTTTTTTTTTTTAATTTTTCACGGCTGTAGATTTCACGTTTTCACCGTCGGTCGGTTGGGACGTACTGAACAATGGGCCACTGTGTAGACGCCACCGGGCATGCTACACCACGTCGTAAGCACCCGTCAATCCGCACTGGGCCCGCGTGGTGGTCATGGCCCAATCTCCCTATTCCATCCATAGGGAAGGCCTGTGCCCCAGCAGTGGGGACATTAATTGGCTGATGATGATGATATAAATACGTACAACTAAATGTTGGAACAACCAGGCGCGCATAGCTTGCGTAGCGTGTCGCGGTAACACGCCGCGCTTGCCGGCCGCATCCTTCGAGTATGATAGGTGTGTGTCTGTGAGATATACTGCAATGCCTGCTGTGTAATGGTGTATAGATACATACTGCGATGCTATGCGTCCCTAGTAGCTCGAGCACGAACTACTAGGCGCGCATAACATACGTGGAGTGTCGCGGCTAGCATCCGATAAACAGTCTGGTACTTAGGCGTTCATTAGTCGGTAGGTTTTGCTGGCAGTCAAGGTTGTGATATGACTGGTGATTGTAGACTTTACATCTAATGGGGCGACTGATGACTTTTTAGTCGCCATCCGTTTTTTATCATTCATTCGACGGCTGCGCTGACCTGAGAGTTGAATGGGAAGAAAGCTGACTATCATTGGACGTTGAAGTTAAAGAAGGGTATATAAATACCTGAGGAGCTGGATGGCGCAGGTGGTTAGCGCGTTCGACTGCGGCGGTCGTTGAAGTTAAGCAACTTTCGCATTGGTCGGCCATTGGATGGGTGACCAAAAATCTTCTTCCTCGAGTTTCTTCGTGCTTCGGAAGGTACGTTAAGCCAGAGACCAACGTCCCTGCTGCATTTGCAGTCGTAAACACCCGCCAATCCGCACTGGGCCCGCGTGGTGGTCACGGCCCAATCTCCCTATTCCAACCATAGGGAAGGCCAGTGCCCCAGCTGTGGGGACATTAATAGGCTGATGATAATGATATAAATACTTACGACTAAATGTTGGAACAACCAGGCGCGCATAGCTTGCATAGCGTGTCGCAGTAACACTCCGCGCTTGCCGGCCGAATCCTTCGAGTATGATAGGTGTGTGTCTGTGAGATATACTGCAATGCCTGCTGTGTAATGGTGTATAGATACATACTGCGATGCTATGCGTCCCTGGTAGCTCGAGCACGAACTACTAGGCGCGCATAACATACGTGGAATGTCGCGGCTAGCATCCAATAAACAGTCTAGGCGTTAATTAGTCGGTAGGTTTTGCTGGCAGTCAAGGTTGTGATATGACTGGTGATTGTAGACTTTACATCTAATGGGGCGACTGATGACTTTAGTCGCCATCCGTTTTTTATCATTCATTCGACGGCTGCGCTGACCTGAGAGTTGAATGGGAAGAAAGCTGACTATCATTGGACGTTGAAGTTAAAGAAGGGTATATAAATACCTGAGGAGCTGGATGGCGCAGGTGGTTAGCGCGTTCGACTGCGGCGGTCGTTGAAGTTAAGCAACTTTCGCATTGGTCGGCCATTGGATGGGTGACCAAAAATCTTCTTCCTCGAGTTTCTTCGTGCTTCGGAAGGTACGTTAAGCCAGAGACCAACGTCCCTGCTGCATTTGCAGTCGTAAACACCCGCCAATCCGCACTGGGCCCGCGTGGTGGTCACGGCCCAATCTCCCTATTCCAACCATAGGGAAGGCCAGTGCCCCAGCTGTGGGGACATTAATAGGCTGATGATAATGATATAAATACTTACGACTAAATGTTGGAACAACCAGGCGCGCATAGCTTGCGTAGCGTGTCGCGGTAACACTCCGCGCTTGCCGGCCGCATCCTTCGAGTATGATAGGTGTGTGTCTGTGAGATACACTGCAATGCCTGCTGTGTAATGGTGTATAGACATACTGCGATGCTATGCGTCCCTAGTAGCTCGAGCACGAACTACTAGGCGCGCATAACCTACGTGGAGTGTCGCGGCTAGCATCCGATAAACAGTCTGGTACTTAGGCGTTCATTAGTCGGTAGGTTTTGCTGGCAGTCAAGGTTGTGATATGACTGGTGATTGTAGACTTTACATCTAATGGGGCGACTGATGACTTTTTAGTCGCCATGCGTTTTTTATCATTCATTCGACGGCTGCGCTGACCTGAGAGTTGAATGGGAAGAAAGCTGACTATAATTGGACGTTGAAGTTAAAGAAGGGTATATAAATACCTGAGGAGCTGGATGGCGCAGGTGGTTAGCGCGTTCGACTGCGGCGGTCGTTGAAGTTAAGCAACTTTCGCATTGGTCGGTCATTGGAAGGGTGACCAAAAATCTTCTTCCTCGAGTTTCTTCGTGCTTCGGAAGGTACGTTAAGCCAGAGACCAACGTCCCTGCTGCATTTGCAGTCGTAAATACCCGCCAATCCGCACTGGGCCCGCGTGGTGGTCACGGCCCAATCTCCCTTTTTCATTCTAAGGGAAGGCCTGTGCCCCAGCAGTGGGGACATTAATTGGCTGATGATGATGATGATATAAATACTTACGACTAAATGTTGGAACAACCAGGCGCGCATAGCTTGCGTAGCGTGTCGCGGTAACACGCCGCGCTTGCCGGCCGCATCCTCGGAGTCATCGTCGGGTGGCGGCGAGCCTGATACGGAGGAGCAGGAGTTGTTGGAATTCGTGCCTGAGAATTAAACAAGTTGTTAAGAATAGAATACAATACTCTATATTTTCATTAAATAGGATTGACAAAAGGTGTTTGCATATAAAGCATATGTTAAGCTAAGAAACTTAAACCTATTTAGCCATAATAATAGCATGCAAAAAATTCTAAAATTGTAACATATTATAAATATAAATAATAAATATTTCCAACACGCACACCAATTAGCCTAGCCCCAAAGTAAGCACTGTTAACTTGTGTTATGGTATACTAGGGTAACGGATAGAATACAATATAATATAAGCATATTTTTATAGAAATACTAGCTGACCCAGCGAACTTCGTACCGCCATAAAAAATAGGGGTTGGTGGTAGAAGAGTGAAAATTTAAAATTTATGTATTTTTGTATGATGTATCATAAAAATAAATCTAAAATTGAAAAACAAAATTTAGGGGTGGATTACCCTTAACATTTAGGGGGATGAAAAATAGATGTTGTCCGATTCTCAGACCTACCCAATAATATGCACACATAAAAAACCTTATTACTTACCAGTAAAAGAATCAGTCGGCAACAATCCAGCACCAATTTGACTTATCGGAGTCGAACCTTGCACCACCAGCGACGCTGCAACCAACACATTCTTCAATAAACATACGAGGGAACGAAATTAAAAATGAAATAACTAAAACTGATCTAAGCGGCGCTGCATGTTACATTAAGGGAGGAGGAGCCTGCCTATCGCTGCCGTATGCGTGAGAGGAAGGGAAGCCAGGCAGACTGGCGCCGTAACGCGTTACGTAACTCGATTTACCCTCCCATAAGAAGTTATCACTGTCGCATAAGAAGTTATCACTTAGACACGCCGCTGGGTACCTGTATAATGTATGTGATATATAATGTATGTATATGTGACTCACGCTGGTCCGTCGGGTGCGGCGGGAACCCTACGGGGTACGCGGCTGGGTATCGACTGTATAATGTATGGGATATATAATGTATATGTGACTCACGCGGGTTCCTCGGGTGCGGCGGGAACCCTAGGGATACGCCGCTGGGCGTCGATTGTATAAATGTATGGGATATATAATGTAAGTATATGTGACTCACGCGGGTTCCTCGGGTGCGGCGGGAACCCTACGGGGTACGCGGTTGGATGTCGACTGTATAAATGTATAAGATATATAATGTAAGTATATGTGACTCACGCGGGTCCCTCGGGTGCGGCGGGAACCCTACGGGGTACGCGGCTAGGTATCGACTGTATAATGTATGGGATATATAATGTAAGTATATGTGACTCACGCGGGTTCCTCGGGTGCGGCGGGAACCCTACGGGGTACGCGGTTGGATGTCGACTGTATAAATGTATGGGATATATAATGTAAGTATATGTGACTCACGTGGGTCCCGCGGGTGCGGCGGGAACTCCGCGGGGTAAGTCTTCTGGCGTCAACTGTATTATGTATATGATATATAACGTATGTATATGTTACTCACGTGTCCCTCGGGTGTGATGGAAATCCTTGGGGTACGCGTCGACTGTATAATTTATGAGATATATAACTTTTGTATATATATGTTACTCACGCGGGTCTTTCGGGAACCCCGCGAGGTACGCCTGCTGGCGTCGTACTGTTTAATGTATGTGATATATAATTTATGTTTATGTGACTCACGCGGGTCTCTCATTTGCGGTGGGAACCCCGCGGGGTACGATGTATGTGATATATAATTTATATGTGACTCACGCGGGTCCCTCGGGTGCGGCGGGAAGGGTAGCTCGGGGTGCTGCGGGAACACCGCGGGGAACGCCGTCGCCGGCGTCGACTGCTGAATTTATAAACAAATACACAGTCAAGTATGGAACCATCAAATAAAAACATCATCATATACCTAGTGCGATTAAAGTTTAGGGAATAATCTATTTCCAGGTTTTTCTTTTTTAATATAGATTTTTTTAAATAAAACTAGTTTTTACGGGTTAATGCACGAAACTTTATTTATTTATTGACGTTTCGCAGCCTTTTCAGGTCTGCATCGTCAGAATAATGATTTTTTATTTAAAATTGTCGAGCTACCTTCGAAAGACTTATATTGAGCGTTCGGTTATTTCATTGGAAGATTTTTAAAAATTTATTGTCTATGTATGAATTTATTATTTAATTTACTTAATAAAGTATTTTATTTAAAATTCTTGTTTGTAATTTTGAGTTTATTTATTTATTTGACCCTAACTACCGTAAACTACAGTATAGATTTTTTTTCTGGACATCTTCTAGGCAGGCGTGTACCATTGTAGGCCTCATCATCGCTTTCCATCAGGCGAGATTTTGGTCAAACGCCTTGCCTATTAAGAGCCCTTTCACATTTTTTTGCAAAAAACCGTAATTTTTGAGCGCCTCGTTTACCGCCTTTGAAAAGATTTTGACTATTTCCAATAGAAGTAAACAGTAGAATTACTCTTCTTATTGTAAGTTAATGGAGAATATTTGCGAATACTATTATCTTTTTTTTATACTAATCGTTTTACTGCAGCTAGTTTACGGAAAAAACGACGCACAACTTCAAACGCCTCAATCTCTCAATAATATTCAATAAATTAGATCAAATTAATTACTACGACATCAGAAATATGTTTTTGTTGTAACATAATGTATTAGAATTTTGATTTTTTATCTCATTAATTATCAAAAAAAAAATCTAACCTCCGTGAGTTTTCCCAAAAATAATGCAGGTTTACCTCGTATTTTGATATTGAATTAAATAGAATTACTATCAAATACTTTCATAAAACTAATCTGCCATCATTAAACTACTGAAATATGTATATATTTTTATAATTAGTTCATTGATGATTATTTTATAAGACTCGACACAGCACCCGTATAATGCAATTTATACTAGTGCAAATCTACCTACGCGCCGATCAGTACGGCAGCGGCGCAATTTTGTAAAAGGGCTCTTAACCATAGATGATGACTGAAATAGAAGTTAACTAGCAAACCATTGAACCAAATGTTCACCAAAAAATGATTAAAAAAAAAGTATTTAATTAATTGAGAACTTCGGAGATTTTGTGTGGTTTCGTTTGAAATTCGTGATTTCTCGAAAACCGGAAGTGCTACGTTACTCAAATCCGGTTTGTAGTCTTATCAGACTATTCTTAACTTATAACTTAAATATTCTCTTTATCTATCTCTTACGGTTTGGCCGCTGAAACAGCACCACAGACAGACGGACGGACTTGTCTAATAGATAAGAGATTATTTTTCCTGGTGTCGCTCAGCGGGGTGCCTCTAAGGTAACATAATGTATTAAAAATGCAAAAACGTTCTAAATGTGTGAATACTTACTATAGGCTACTAACACTTAGGTAGTTATAAGTTACATTGTATATTAACATATGGATCAGTCTGGTCTGCAAATAAATAATATAAAAAAAAATAGTAGTTGTTTTATGTGATAACACCTCTGTACACCTACATGAAAAAGCAATAAATATGATTATGATATGATGATTATGATTGAGGAGCTCGATGGCGCAAGTGGTTAGCGCGTTCGGCTGCGGTCGTTGAAGTTAAGCAACTTTCGCAGTGGTCGGTCATTGGATGGGTGACCAAAAATTTACGATCTCGAGCTCCTCCGTGCTTCGGAAGGCACGTTAAGCCGTTGGTCCCGGCTGCATCTGCAGTCGTTAGCGCCCACCAATCCGCACTGGGCCCGCGTGGTGGGTCATGGCCCAATCTCCCTATTCCATCCATAGGGAAGGCCTGTGCCCCAGCAGTGGGGACATTAATAGGCTGATGATGATGATGATTATGATAGCTGAAAAACTTCTTGAGCTAAGTTGGATACAAACATAATGGTAGTTTTCCAATTACAGCACTAGAGCGCATTATGCGGCATAATGCTTAACGTTGAATGTTTCAACTACAGCAACGCTTCGCACAATCGAGCACTCTCAAAAGTAATGTTTTCGTGTGATGCGTGCAATCGAGAAGAATTGAATTAACAAGTGCTTTTTCCTTAAGTTGGCATTGATCGAAATGTTCTATTTATATGTTATCGTTAGTAATATTATGTATTATTGAAAAAATATTTAAGCTTTCGTTTCATTATAGTTTCTTATTAAATAATCAAAGTTAATTCAACTGTGTTAAAAAAAAAATATAAGTATGAAGGTACAAACATTGACTTTTTTTTCAACACTGAACTTAGCGCACTCTGCTGGTGCATTTGAAAACTAATTCACGTTCCAATTATGCATCAGCATAATTCGGCATTGTGCGCCACAGAGTCGCATTATACTCTGTAATTGGAAAACTACCAATATGTGCCTGTGTAATGGTAGACATACACACTACGAGAAATCTTAACGAAGACTGTACAGTCCGAACGGTACCGATAAATCGTAGCGTGTATGTTATAAAACTGCACAGTTTCCTATACGTACGCCACGTACGATAAACTGTTCCGTTCGAACTGTACAGTCGTAGGCATTGTCCTAATACAACGCGATAACGCGAATGAGCGATGCGATCATCGTACGAGTCGACGATCAAACATATTGATCTAGAATAGGTGTCCTAATAGGCGATCGAGCGATGCATTCGCGCGACTAAAATGTTTAATAATCTATTCGCGGGAACATAGTTCGCGCGAACACGCAATCAAACCTATTGATGATGAATAGGTGTCCTAACTGAAGTTCGCGCGATGATCGCGTCGCGTCGATAGGAAGCGGGGAGAAGGGCAGGGCTAACCCGACCAAACTATGTGTCAATCGTGATCGCGTATTCGCGTAAATCGTGATTGCGTATTCGCGTTCTATTAAAAAAATTCAAAATTCAATATCGTTTATTCAGTCTAGGCTGTTACAAGCACTTGTGAATGTCGAAAAGCTACGCCATCGGTTCGCAAAACTACGGCGGGAGACCTTGTACTGAGAAGAACCGGCAAGAAACTCAGCAAGGGCTGCTTTTTTCTCCCTGTTTTATTTCATACAGTGTCGTCCAATTGAAAGTTGACATCAAACTTGCGAACATGTGTTGAGGTCAACTTCCATCACATAATGTCAAATATGTAATAATAGACAATCAACGAATTTACTAACAATAAGTGCAAAGATAAGTCCCAAAATAGCAAGAAACAATTTTCAAAACAAAATGAACAAGTATATGAAAGGGAGTAAGTGCAAGGTTCTCTTCAAAACTCTTTCTAAGGCTGAGAGCCTTAGTTTTAATATAACTTTTGAAAAATTATCTATAGGTAAAATTACAACCAGGCCGTTTTATCATTCAATTAGGACACCCAGTTCGCGATCACGCGATGGTCGCATCGTTTAAACGCGCGATGATCGCGTTATCGCGTTGTATTAGGACAATGCCTGATCGTAACGATTTCTCGTAGTGTGTATGGCTACCATAAGTGACTCGCGCACGAAGAGTTCCGTTCGATTATTTATATAACATTAGACACAAAAGCGGCAAAAAATCACCTCCATTGTATTGGAATCCGTTGTATTCACTTTTTTTAAACGCTGTTGTTTCGGAGATAATTTGTGGGGGTCAATTTTTATTTATATTTCTAAACTACTAATTTGGCATTTGTAAAAACAATCTATTTGAATTTGATCGGTCCAGTAGATTCCGAGAAAATCGACTGCTACACACAGACAGGCAGACAACTAAATGATCTGGTAAAGGTTCTGTTTTTGCCGATTGAGATACGAAACCCTAAAACGTACTTAAATCAAATATAAAATAGGTACTAATTCTAAAGGTTAGGTTATCTAAATAACTAAAGAATTGAATCTAAAAATCTAAAGAAAATATAACTAGAAAAAATTCCACGCGGACCAGGCAGCAGACGGGACTTGAACCCGCACCCTTCGCAATCCGGGCGAATGCCCTGACCAATTATGCTACCGCGGCCCTCACGGACCGCGTCGAAATTCTTCTAGCCATACTTAAGCTTTAATTATTTATTCTATGTGGGTTACCTATAATGCGAAGAGATGGCGCTGTCTTGCAGCTTAAGAATGGCTAATTGGTCAGTGCATTTGCCTGGATTGCGAAGGGTGCGGGTTCGAGTCCCGTCTGCTGCCTGGACCGCGTGGAATTTTTTCTAGTTATATTTTCTTTAGATCATTTAAGTACCTAATATATTCTATATTCCCAATTCTATTCTATGTTCCCTCCTTCCTACAATCTGGGGTCCTTTAAGGGAGGCGTGAAAAATTTTTGCAGGCCGGCAAGGTGAGGATGGTTGGTGTGGCAGTTTACAACTGCTGTACCAGCTATCTTCGCTTTTGGACTTTATCAACACATAACATCAGGTGGGGTAGAGTCATTTGCCTACCTTGCAATAAAAAAAACGACGGGTTGCACCCCGTGAGTGCCGGCAGAAGTGAAAACTTAAATATTAACGTTGTGCATTTTTGATATTTTGGGATGGTTAGGGAATAATTTTGCAAAAATTTCTTTAATTATCAGTATAAAAGTACTATCATTTATGCGGTAGAATATAATATTTATTTATTGCGCTATCGTACACAAACATGACAGTTTATATTATATTGAAACGCACCTAGCGACATCTATTGTAAAAAAATGCACTTTCTTCGCAATAAAGCTGCCACCTGGACGTCCTAGATAGAGACTTATTATTATAATACGATAAAATAAAATATTACTATGTTTCGTCCAATATATTAAAAGTCAACAACCTTTCCAATTTTATTGTTTTCGTTATACGATCAGGACACGTGGCCTGTGATGCGATCAGCCCACGTGTTTAACCTGACGCGAGTTTAACATTTTTTACCCATACAAAAAAAAGTGTACAACGCCTCTAAAGAAGATTTCACTTCAAAAATATTTCTAAATATATAGATAGATGCACAATCGAAAGACATACATTTCATACCTGGTACTGAGGTGAATTGGATGTGCTGGAGTGGTCGTCTAATGATCCAGATAAATTGTTGTTACTCTCGACACCACCTGAAACAGGAAATAGTTATTTTACTTATTAATTTATTACACATTGCACATGTACATTATTTATTATAAGGTCTTACATAGTTAATAGTGAGTGGTACATGACCCCGTTGGGGTGTTGCAACAAACTTGAGCTTAACATCATATATATTAATTTTAGGGCGCAAAAATGTTATAGGTTAAATTAAATCAAATCAAGTAAAAAAATAAAAAAAATAAACGGTCTAAAGAAGAGTTTACTAGAAAAAAAAATCCACGCGGACCAGGCAGCGGACGGGACTCGAACCCGCACCCTTCGCAATCCGGGCGAATGCACTGACCATTATGCTACCACGGCCCTAGCAGTTAAATGCTTAAAAATAAAAAATAAAATAAAAAAAAACAAAAATAACCAGTGTCAAATTATATCATATCATCATAGTCAAATCATAACAAATTAGATAAAATTTAATCAAATTAAACTTGAAAATTTATTACTCACTATCGAAATTCCAAAATTCATATTACTTCAATGGATTTAAGAAATATGAATTTATGTTTTTATTTTTTTTAAGCATTTAACTGCTTGATTTTTATATCTAAAGAAAAGTTTTACTAGAAAAAACTATGAATTTTCGAATTTCTATTTGATACTACTTTGCTATGTTGTTTGATTTAATTACTTCAACGTCTATGGCGACCATTATCCTTCAATTCATCGATTTATTTTGATGAGGCTATGAATTCTCAGCTGTCTATATAGTCATAATTACTTATTTCTTTCTTTACATTTGCTTGCAAAATGAATGAAACGAACCAAAAACTATATTGTTTCCTCATCATCATCAGCCGATGGACATCCACTGTTGGAAATAGGCAATCTCAAGGGATTTCCATATGCAACGATCCTGAGCTCTCCGCATCCAGTGGGTCCCCCCTACTCGCTTGATGTCGTCAGTGCACCTCGTGAGGGTACTACGCAGACCCGTCTTTCCCAGTGGACACTTTGGGCAAGTGCCCAGGGCCCCGCGATCGATAGGGCCCCCCTCAGATCAAATACAAAGTCCGTAGTTCCTGTTAAATCACCAAACGGAAGTCATAGGGGCCCCATTATCCTAATATGTGCAGGGCCTCCAATAGGTCAAAGAGGGCACTGGGTCTAACGACGCTGCGCTTCCCGATGCGAGGTCTCCATTGAGGCACCTTGAGACCGTGCTATATGCCCCGCCCAATGCCACTTCTTTTTTTTATTTTATATATATTATATATTAAGGTAGGCAAATAACTCTACCCCACCTGATGTTAAGTGGTAATAAAGTCCAAACGCGAAAATAGCTGGTACAGCAGTTATAAACTGCTACACCAACCATCCTCACCTTGCCGGCCTGCAAAAAAGCTTCTTCACGCCTCTCTTAAAGGATCCCAGATTATAGGAAGGAGAGAACACTTGCGCGGGTAAAGAATTCCACTTACGAATAGTACGACAAAGAAATGAGTCACCAAATTTCTTTGTTCGTGTAGGAATAGTGGCCACAGTAAGTCGGTGGCAACGTAGGCCAGCGCGCGTGGTCCTCTGAAGAAAAGGTGATGGAGGGATAAGGGAGAATAACTCCTCAGAACACTCGCCGTGGTATAGTCGATAAAATGCGCTTAATGATGCCACATCACGGCGTAATTGTAGAGACTCGAGTTTCTTGGTTACGTCTTCGTCGCCAATGATGAGGACAGCGCGCCGCTGCAACCTATCCAAGGCATCGAGTAAGTTTAGCGGAGCCATCCCAGAGGTGAGAGCAATATTCCACGCAGGACTGTACTTGCGTTTTGTACAACAACTTGAGCTATGCCGGTTGTTCTAGATCTTCTACGGATTTCCACATTCCTGATTCGATCACGTAGAGAAACCTCACCGCTAATAGGGGTGATGACGGGGTACAGTAAACGAAGTTCTATTTAGTCCTTCAGCTAGATGATCAAAAAATAATGGACACGTATTTTTTCTTTGGGCAATCAACCAAAAAATGACAAAGTTATAGCGCATCAAAGTTTGGGAGTAGGGGCTCGTGACGTCACTTTTCAGTGAAAATTGTACTTGTTTAATTGTAAAACGTGACGTCATGCAAATTTTCAAATCAATATATCTCTGCAATGTTTACATTATGTGAAAAAAAAATACGTGTCCAATACTTTTTGATAATCTACCTGATAGAAGAAGAAAAAAAAATTGTCATCATCCCTATTGTATCCTCACCGCTAGAGTAGTCGGTTCGCAGCAGATTCTCACTCTGCATCTTGGTCTTCAAGCAGGCGATGTACCGCCCGCAGAAGTCCCGGCACAGCTCCTGCACCTTCTCCAGCTCTAGCAGGTGAATCCTAAGAACCTGGAAACGGAACAGCAATTGGAAATCAGTCTATATTTATGTTTGTTAAGTTTTCACGCACACCATTCATTAAATGAAACACGTTTTGAACGGGTATAAATGCGTTTTTAATACTTTTTTAAAGTAGTTTGACATTTCGCATCGTTTTCAGTAACCTTAATACGAGTTTTAGCTCACGAAAACGATCATAGTTTTCGTAATTGTAAATTATGTTTCTATATCCATTTTGGTGAAAAAAAACCAAATATTGTTAAAATTTAAGAAGACGCAAATGATTTAATGATAGAATTTAAACACTGTTTATTTGTATTGAAACGAAAACAAATAAAATCAGTACCCTTAGTACGAGTGCGAGCTCACGAAAACTATCATAGTTTTCGTAATCGTAAACTCGTACTAAGGTACAGGATATTTCTTTCTTTTTCAGTATGCTAAATATCAAATACTTACTGTAAAATGTATTAAAAACGAATTTATACACGTTCCAAAAGTGTTTAAATTAGTCTACATTTATTATTTACTAGTGGCCCGCCCTCGCTTCGGGGTAGAATTGATCAAAATCCTTTCTTAGCGGATGCCTACGTCATAACATCTACCTGCATGCCAAATTTCAGCCCGATCCGTCCAGTGGTTTGGACTGTGCGTTGATAGATCACTATGTCAGTCAGTCAGTCAGTCACCTTTGAGTTTTATATATAGATAGATATTCTCTCGCACGTATTTAAATTGTTAAAATCAAAATTCATTTATTCAGTCTAGACTGCTAAAGGCACTTGTGAAGATCGAGAAGCTACGCCATCGGTTCGCAAATCTACGGCGGGAGACCTTGTACTAAGACCGAGAACCGGCAAGAAACTCAGCAAGTGCTATTTCTTTCTCGCTGCATTATTATATCGAGCCCTTACCGCCAAATTATTGTAAGCGACATTCGCCAAATTATCGTAAGCGACACTTTTGTCGAAATGCGTTTTTTGTGGAAACTAATATTTTAAACCGTAACGGACCCATCTCTGTTGATATTTCCCTCCAAAAGAACACCGTAATAGTATAACAGAGGGAAGAATAGAGGGAAATATCAACAGAGATGGGTCCGTTACGGTTTAAAATAATAGTTTCCACAAAAAACGCATTTCGACAAAAGTGTCGCTTACGATAATTTGGCGGTAAGGGCTCGATATACAGAGTCGTCAAGTTGAGAAATGACTACAGACATAATTCTGAAGTCACCAGATACATTTTTAAAGACTTATCTAGTAACAGCGCTTCACACGGTGTACACCCCCATTTTACGTGTAGCAATTTATTTCAAGCAATTATTTTACCCATAATATGAGAATAACTTAATGCTCATCAACCAGCAAGAGTTTCCAATCCCTCCGCTGGTGCTGGTACTCCAAATCACAGTTTTCTAGTACTTACACCCGGATTAATAGAACATTTTCAACTCCGAGACCAATCTTGAGTACGATCTTAAGCTGCGGTTTTCATAAAAAACAGCATCTCAAGATAGCTCTAAGAGTTGAGAGTGTTTTATTAAAATAGGCCTTAGAGTCTCTTTCACTCGGAAGTTTGGAATCCCAAAAGCTAAAGATTGAATAATAATAATAATAACTTTATTTATACATGTTATATCTTATAATTTAATAGACCACAATAGACTTCGGAAAAAAAATCATTCAAATTCCAACTAGTAAACACTAGTAAACATCTTTTCCTTTGATATTTTTTTTTGCTCTTTTACCTTTACCTACAGCCTGCAGTACTTTGTACATCTAACATACATGATTATTTGATTATATTAATCTTAAATAACAGAAATCATTGATCTATATTTGTTCACTCCAATCAGCCAATCAGTGAAATATAAAAATCTCAAATGGCCCTGATAAGCACTTCCAATTCACTACCCATCTTGAGGGAGTACCCCAATCGCTTAATGGCTGAGTGGGGTGGTACTTGCCCGCAGGGCCGAATTTAAGGCAGGGCAGGTGGGGCTGTGACCCAGGGGCCTCCACAACAGCTTAAGAAATAACAACATTTCGATGGGTTAACAAGAATACAAATCCTAAGTGGCCCGGGGCCTCCACAATCCTAAATCCGGCCCTGCTGGTACCTGAACTAAACGAAAGCTTGTATCTCAGTGCACCAGTACCCTCCTCTCCGTAAGGTGGCCGTTTTATCTTTACAAAGTAAGTTTCTACATATATAAAAATACCTGTAGGAGAATATATAATATAATACATATATCCAAATAATGACTTGATTGACAATGATCGCTAGTATCTAGAGCCAAGACAAATTTATATTAAGTTAATGAGGGCTACCGTTTTCTGCCTCACCAGATGGCGCCACTGTTGAGTGAGGTCCTAAATTGTAACTTTTAAAGTTTATTAATACGCACATGAAATCAAAGCTTACATTTAGATCGTATTTTAACACAAAAGAACCATATCCTAAACATAATAGGCCATGCCACAGTGACGCGCAGTTCCGTTTTATTCGAAAAAAATGGGAACATAATCATTTTTCTAAGCTCAAATTTTTAATAACTGACATTCATTGCCACATAACTCATATTTGCCATAATTAAGCCGAATTGTTACCAATTATTCACAACATTATTTTAATTAGAAATAAACCCGCGTAGTCAACCAACAAGCAATAACATTTGACATTTCGGAGACCTCACGCTACACTAGCGCCTCTAGCGGCGGATTTATACGCGATAGCCCTCATTACAAAGCACATTTTATGGAAGAAGTGTTAAACGTTGTCACAGTTAGTTTAATGGAATTGACTTTCAAAACCACTACTAGAAAAGAACACTACGCAAAAATTAAATCTAAGTTACATACCATCATACATTAATTTATATGCACTTGCCCGAAGATTGTTACTTTAGAGCTTCAAAATCAGACAGGTGTATTTACTTGATGAAGTGATAAAATAGAACTTACAAGCGATCGTAGGATATTATATATAGTGTGTGTTATATTGAAGGATATCAACATATTACCTTTAAGCTCTCACGGATACAGTATCGAATCGGAACCCCGAACCTTATTCTGATACCAACCTAAGTGACACTGAAAATGATTAGAAAATGAAAAACGGCTAAATGTAGAAAGTTGTCAATACTTTTATTATTTTAAATCTAAAGAAAATATAACTAGAAAAATATCCACGCGGACCAGGCAGCAGACGGGACTCGAACCCGCACCCTTCGCAATCCGGGCGAATGCACTGACCAATCATGCTACCGCGGCCCTGACGGCCCCGTCGAAATTCTTCTAGCCATTCTTTTCCAAGACAACAGGCAAACAGCGATTAACACACCAGTCTGCAGTAACTGTTTTTCCATCTTCTAGCACAACTGTCGCGAAATGACCTTTCCGATCAAAGAATGAGGCAATCATATTTTTCCTTGACTTCTTTCTATCTTTACCTTAGTTGGCCGATCCTCAAAAGGAAACACCCACTGAGCTGATTGTCTTTTGGTTTCGGGTTCGTAGCAATATATCCAGCTTTCATCACCTGTGACGATGTCAAATACAGCATTTGAGTCACCGCCGTTGAACTTATCTAACATTTGGCGACACCAGTCCATGCGCAGGTGTTTCTGGTCGTCGGTTAAAGTATGGGGAATCCATCTGGTACAAAGCTTCCTGACGCCTAAATGTTCGTGTATTATTTTTTGAACTTGACTCATGCCAATGCCTAGGCTTGCCCGTATCTGCTGATAGGTCACTCTCTATCTTCCTCTATCATGCGTCGCACAGCACTGATGTTATCTTCAGTAGCCGCTGTTAAAGGACGTCCCTCACGCGGATCATCATTGCGTTTGCTACGTCCACGCTTAAACTCGTTAAAACAATTGTAAATAGTGGCACGAGATGGGGCTTCATTAAGGTATGCTAATCGCAGCCTATCATAGCTTTGTTGTTGAGTAAGCCCACAACGAAAGTCATAATAGATCATTGACCGAAAATTTTCTCGCGCTGTAACAAGAGTTTTAGATTTGCCGCCAATTCACAAAAACAAATGACAAATGAATGCAATATGCTACATTAGGTTACCAAAGTTCTAAAATTGAAATTAAAAAAAAAAGTTTTCATTAGCAATGTATCTAACTGGCCAGTACTAAACATTTTGAGTGTTACCCTCAACGATATTAAATACCCTAGATACACCACGTGCGCTCAAAATTCTTCCCTATCAAGAAGTGCTTGAACACGACTCAAGCACTTCTTGGTTCACAGTCACACGCGGACCGTTGAAAAGTCAACATGCCGCTGAGCTCCGTGAAAAAATGCGAAATGAATACTTATAGTATGTAAAATGTCGTTTTTTCGTCAGATATCTCATCAATGTTTGTTAATTTAACGCATTTGAAGCAAATTTTGTTTTAATACTTACTATAAACTGGTTTTATAGAAAATATTTGTGATATTCAAATGCATGGTCGGTAATATAGCCGTCTCTTTCCTCTCGGTCCGTACTTGCTGTATTGCTAACAGCGCATTCAGAATTGCGCGTAGATTCAAAGAAATAAGTTCTATATTCTTTTGCATATAGCAATAAGTCGTAAAATTTTACGAGTCATAACTCTCTGACGCATGCACTTTGATTAAGACCTTATGTAGTGCATTTTAAAGGTGATTTTCAATGTTTAAATAATGACTTATATTGTTTAGACCATGCGATTATATTACGAAGCTCCGTGGATCGTCCAATGTACCTTTTGGACATGTTTCGGGCACGATTTTGTTCGTGTTGGTGTATCTAGGGTATTTAATACCGTTGGTTACCCTCGTATATGATCTCACGAACGAACATATAACGAACAACAACTTAGGACAGTGCCTTGTTGATCGGAACCAAAAAAAGTCCTAAAAAAGTTAAGGTAGAAGTACATTGATGTAGAGGTACCTGTATGCTCTTAATCATAAGCCCATCAATCTCCGGATCGTCAACCAGGAAGGGTCTCCGGTCTCTCCGTTGGTGCTGTACGAAAGCTTGTAGGTCGGCACCAAACGCGTCCGCTGCAGGGGGCTCGGCGCCCGCTGTCGCCTGCTCGCATCTCTCCAGTAGGAGGGCCAGCAGGGGGAATAGGGGGTGTCTGAAATAATAAAGTATCTTTAATAAAAAAAAAATGGTAGACCACGAGACGCGGACAGGGTCTTCATCTAGGGCCGGATATAAAACAGGCTATGGCACAGGAGAGGGGCCCCCAAAACAGAGATCACCAAACCAGGGGAAGGGGGAAATGATATTGGGGCGGGCCCCAGCCGGGCCAGTTGATGAGAGGACTTTCCTCTCATTAGCCGGTGGGGCCGGGGCCCTCCTGCTTGTCACAATCCCATGGAAGTTAAAAAGTACAACTTTCCTTTTCTTATTCTTTCTCTAAATCTTTCTTCGTTCTATCCCCCGGCTCACGTTTCTGCCTCTGGCTGTATCAAAGGCGGCCTCGACTTAGACTTCAAAAAAAAACCAAGGGGAGGGTGCAAATTGTAAGTGGTTCGACCCAGATTTAGGAGCTTCCACTCCTACGTTGCCCTAGGGCTCCCCCCAACTCTAAATGTGGCCGTCCCTTCATCCGTACGTGGTTGACGTACCTGCACTGCGCACCTCGTTATGTGCATTCTACTATAGCATGCGAACCGCTAGGAAATGGAACTCCTTTCCTGCGTCAGTATTCTCAGATACATATGATATAGAAACCTTCAGGGCCAGAGGAAAAGGGCATTACTTGATCTTGCTTACTCCAGCTTAGACCACACCGTTGCTTAGCATCAATTGCGATTGTAGGCGAACGACGGACGACGAACAAATATTATATAAATATTCACGAATTAAAGTTGCTCAAGGTAAAATTTCTTTTCTCTCAGAAAATAAGAGCTATGCTGGGGATTTCTCTGAGATAGCGCTCCGGGAAGAAGTACCTAATTCGCCAGAGAACTAAAGTTACTGACATAGTTCAATGAGTAAGCAAGCTGAAGTGGGAGAGGGCTGATCATATATGCCATAGTACGACTGGCCTTTGGGGCAGACGAGTCCTGGAGTGGAGATTACGAATCGGCAAACGTAGTATGGGGCATCCCGCGACTAGATGGAGCGACAACATTCGAAAAGCAGCGGGTAATGACTGGAGGAGAGCTGATGACCGAAGTCAATGGTGTGCCATGGATTCGACTGCGATCGTTGAACTTAAGCAACTTTCGCAGTGGTCGTTCATTGGATGGGTGACCAAAAATTACTAGCTCGAGCTCCTCCGTGCTTCGTAAGGCACGTTAAGCCATTGGTCCCGGCTGCATTTGCAGTTGTTAGCACCCACCAATACGCACTGGGCCCGCGTGGTAAGTCCTGGCCCAATCTCCCTATTCCATCCATAGGGAAGACCTGTGCCCCAGCAGTGGGGACATTAATAGGCTGGTGATGATGATGATGAATCTCCCTCCACTGACGTTGAAATAAAATATAACTTGAATTTGTAGGATTAAGATGAGATTTATGAGCCAGATTATGTGGAAAACAGTTTCAAAGATAGAACAGCAGGAAACTACAAATTGGACTAGTAGGGTTCAGAAGAAGGTACAGAAGAAGAGGATTCCAAAAAAGTAAATAAGAAAACCAAAGTCACCGACATAGCCCACCGAATTAGCAAACTGAAGTGGCAGTGGGCTGGTCACATTTGCCCCAGAACTGTTGGAGCCGGAAAGTTCTTAAGTGGAGACCACGACTCGGTAAACGTAGTGTAGGACACCCTGAGACAAGATGGGATGATGATATTCGTAGGCTGGCTGGAGTGGGCTGGATGAGAGTAGCACAAAATCGGGAGCAGTGGCGTGCATTAGGGGAGACCTATGTCCAGCAGTGGACGAACATGGGTTGATGATAATGATGATGATGAAATAAGAAAAACAATATGTACCTATGCAATTAAGGACATAGACACACAGATGCAGAGTAAGTAGGACGTAGTATAGACAGATTATTTGAAACTGGAATTGGAGATAGAATAGCAGGAAAATATAGGAGAAGAGGAGGTAAACAGACAGACAGGAGACCTCTTCTCCTGTCTGACAGACAGGACAGACAGGAGACCTCTTCTCCTGTCTGTCTGTCTCCTATTGGACGTAGAAGAAGAGCAGGTAGAGGTGGAAGAGGATGAAGGTAAGAAATGAACGCTTACTTGTATACAGCTCGCTTGTCGGCCTCGAATTGCGCCTGGTCGGCGTCGGCAGCGGGCGCGCCTCCGCCCTGCATCCCGCCTCTCACCACTTGCGCCGCATCTGTGCAAGGGAAAGGAGCTGTTATTAAAAGCGAAATAAAAGCGAAAATCCCATGCTACCCTTCAACTTTTTGAGTCGATCCATTTATTACGATTATAAACTCTGTACCCTTGACCTTAGTACGAGTTTGAGCTCACGGAAACTATCATAATTTTCGTAATTGTAAATTATTTTGTTTAGTCCATTTTGGTAAAAAGTAACCAAATATACTTAAAATTTAAGAAGTCGCAAATGATTTAATGATAGAATTTAAACACTGTTTATTTGTATTTAAACGAAAATAAACAAATCAGTATCCTTAGTACGAGTGCGAGCTCACGAAAACTATTAGTTTTCGTGATTGTAAAACTCGTACTAAGGGTACTGATGACAACTATTTCACTAGAAATTACTATGTTTTGAGAACGAAGAAGATAAAATTTGATTATATTCGAATGAGCATAACCTCATTTGAAGAGCTTTTGAGTTTATTATTACCACATGGTAATATTTCAGACAAAAATGCTTGGGCTTAAACTGTTCCAAACGTTCCGGCAGGCTTTTTCTATAATTATGATTTTGTATTGACGCCGTTACAATATAATATTTTGTAAGTATTGTTACATAATTATTTGACACTGTGAAGTTTTAACAACAGCTAAAAAATGTCCTTAACTGGTGGTAGGGAAAAAATATGGACGACTAGTGGCCCGCCCTCGCTTCTCTTCGGGGTAGAATTGATCAAAATCCTTTCTTAGCGGATGCCTACGTCATAACATCTACCTGCATGCCAAATTTCAGCCCGATCCGTCCAGTGGTTTGGGCTGTGCGTTGATAGATCACTATATCAGTCAGTCACCTTTCCTAGCTTCCTGCTAATAAATGTGTATTATTAAATATTTGTATATGTAACTATATGTTACTCATTCACACAAAAACGGCTGATCGGATTTGCGTGAAATGTGCATACATATTATACATGTTAGCGAGATTAAGAACATAGAATACTTTTCATTCTGGAAAATGTTAAGTTCCTGGGGGACATTGAAAAAACTAAATTCAACGCGGACGTAGTCGCGGGCGGAAGCTAGTTATTCCATAAAGCAAAACAATAAGAAAAACTAGACCTACCACACAAATCGGTAAATATATGTTGGCAACACAGCCATAACTCCGCTCACGGACTCGCGGGCAATAAAAACAGATATTAAAAGCACAACGCGTCTCGAGATCGCATTCATCACAAGTGTTGCCACTAGATTGATATAAAATACCCCCGGTTTCTTGGCCTTATGCTTTTTTGGGGTGTGTATACAAAATTAATTTCGTTTCGGATTGACTTTTAAAGAGGGGTCGGCGAGGGATTACGCACTTACAGCCTTGATTACAATATCATAGACTATTAATATAGTTTTCAACATTTTTGCCTTTATTACAACCTCCGTTGTGGAGTGGTCTGTACGCCAGTTATAAGTGTCTCCTTCTCTGTGGTCCTGAGTTCAAATCCCGATGGGGCAAATGCGATGAACCAGTGTATTTTCCCAACTGTCATGAGACAACTTGTATCTATGTAGGTATGTTTAAAGGTACATTATTTAGCAACCATAGTGCAAACTTTTTTTTACATTAGAATGTCAGTATGACTCATTCTAATGTATCTTAGGGTGTTCAGCACGAAATGTATCGAGTTGGCTTTTTCGATAAGCTTCTGTGAGGTAGTCAACACTACAATAAAGTTCTCACGTCCACTTGACCGGAATAGCGTATATTTTAAAGATTCCACTAATTCTTCAGTTGCGCAGATGGTTGTAACAAAAAATCAAACCAATATTTTTTCAAAATATCCACTTTGAACGAATTTAAGATTAATTAAAATAAGACGCCCACCGCACCCGATAAAATCCCGCCAAAAATTCACGATTTTCTTTAACTGGCAAACCAGTGAACGAAATGTTCACCAAAACCTGATTTAAAAAAAAAATGTATTTAATTAATTGAGAACATCGGAGATTTTGTGTGGTATCGTTTGAAATTCGTGATTTCTCGAAAACCGGAAGTGCTACGTTACTCAAATCCGGTTTGTAGTCTTATCAGACTATTCTTAACTTATAACTTAAATATTCTCTTTATCTATCTCTTACGGTTTGGCCGCTGAAACAGCACCACAGACGGACGGACGGACGGACTTGTCTTATAGATAAGAGATATTGTTATTACCAATGCAAAAGAAACAAAAACCAACCTAGTGCGAGTCGGACTCGCACACCGATGGTTCCGTACAAACCTGTAGGTATAAAAGGCTTAAAAGTATTATAGACCTGAGTATTTGATATGAATTTCAATTTAATACCTGTACGCGTTCATGAGAAAAGGGGTAGTTACTTTAAAATTCTCGATTCTCATTAATTCCGCATTATTATAGTTATTATTATTATATTTTGTATCAATTTGAAATTACATTATTATTTTTTCATCAATTTGACATACATTATAAATTTAAAATCAAACATTGATTAGGTATTAATTGCACTATTTTTTATTGATATTCATTGATTATTAGTTCCATTTATTTATTATTGATTATTAATTACTTTGTACTTTTCTCAATTGAATGTTGTGTCGTGCTTGTAAAGGCTTGCATATGTCTTAGAATAAGTATTTTTTTTTTAATGTTTTTATGTTTAGCTGTAAGTACACCTATTAAATAAATAAAAATTTTCAAAAATATTTTTTATTATATTTATGATGTAACTAAAAATTCGAAAAATTGCGGAAACTTACGGCATAAACGGCTGTATCTTTTGAATGCTTTGGCTTAGAAGTTTGATTTTTTCACAGCCCCAAGGGACAGTAGACCTGAGTATTAGATATGAATTTCAGTTTGATACCTCCACGCGTTCCTGAGAAAAACGGTCTTGACAGACGGACGGAGGGACGAACGGACGGACAACAAAGTGATCCTTAAAGGGTTCCGTTTTTTCCCTTTTGAGGTACGGAACCCTAAAAAAGCGCAAGGCATTTTAAAACAGATATGGGCTTAGCCCAGTATTCCCTTTTAAAACGACTTGTCTTTTCTCTCTTAAACTTTATGTTAAATACAATGCAGTTTCGAGCAACAAATGTTCGCTCACTGTGACTACGTTGAGTCCATGACAAACGCTTACCATCTCTTATCTATTAGACAAGTCCGTCCGTCCGTCTGTGGTGCTGTTTCAGCGGCCAAACCGTAAGAGATAGATAAAGAGAATGTTTAAGTTATAAGTTAAGAATCAGTTTTCGAGAAATCACGAATTTCAAACGAAACCACACAAAATCTCCGAAGTTCTCAATTAATTAAATACATTTTTTTTTAAATCAGGTTTTGGTGAACATTTGCTTCACTGGTTTGCTAGTGTTTCAGAAAGTCTTGTCCTCCGCGAATGTTCCTCGTCTGCGCAGGCCATAAGAGTTATGTATATCAATTACGATATTAACACAAGATCACCCAACTTGGACATTTTTGACGTTTCGCAGAAAAACTTTAAAGCAACATTGTTTGAGCTGCTCGATTGTCATTGATTCTCATTAATTATCATTAATTCCGCATTATTATGGTTATTATAATTATTTTTTGTATCAATTTTACATTACATTGTTATTACTTGCATCAATTTGACATACATTTTTAATTTTAAATCAAACATTGATTATTAATTGCACTATTTTGTATTGATTATTCATTGATTTATTGATTATTAATTCCATATATTATTATTGATTATTAATTACATTGTACTTTTCTGAATTGAATGTTGTGTGTGCTTGTAAAGGCTTGCATATATGTCTTAGAATAAGTTTTTTTTTTTATATGTTTTTATATGTTTAGCTGTAAGTACACCTATTAAATAAATAAATTAATTAATTAATCAAAACCATTTATTCAGTTTAGGCTGTTACAAGCACTCATGAATGTCTAGCATCTACGCCATCGGTTCGAAATCTACGGCGGGAGACTTTGTACTGAGAAGAACCTTCAAGAAACTCAGCAAGGGCTGTTTATTTCTCCCTGTTTTATTATTTAGAGAGTCGTCAAGTTGAAAAATGACTTCAGAGATGATTCATGAAGTGACCTTTCATTACATAATGTGAAATTTACATTAATTGTTCACCTACATTTTGATTGCTGTGTCATACAGTATGAATACAAAAAAGTATTATACCACTGCATGTTTTAATTTTTAATATCTTTTACAAGTCTTCGAGTAAGTGAAGTCCGCATAACAGAACACCGCAGTGCGGTCTGCAAAATACTACGTAGCTAAAAATTTGTGGGCCCCGGGAGAAATTGAAATAAAACAAACTCAAAGTATTTCATTCATCATCATCATCATCAGCCTATTAATTTCCCCACTGCTGGGGCCAAGCCTTCCCTATGGATGGAATTAGGGAGATTGGGCTATGACCCACCACGCGGGCCCAGTGCGGATTGGTGGGTGCTAACGACTGCAGATGCAACCGGGACCAACGGCTTAACGTGCCTTCCGAAGCACGGAGGAGCTCGAGATAGTAAATTTTTGGTCACCCATCCAATGACCGACCACTGCGAAAGTTGCTTCACTTCAACGATCGCAGCCGAACGCGCTAACCACTTGCGCCAACGAGCTCCTCATTATTATTTGTTTGTATGGATCGCGTCAATAAAATGGCGGCATTGAAATTTTTTTTGAAGTGAAAACTTCTTTAGCGGCATTGTACACTTTTTTTGTAATGGGTAAAAACTGTTAAACTCGCGTCAGGACACGTGGCCTGATCGCGTCAGTCCTAATCAGTTCACGTGTCCACATGACCTAATCGAAAATTCGTAAGACGAAAGCAATAAAATTGGAAAGGTTGTTAACTTTCAGTATATTGGACGAAACATATTAATATTTTATTTTATCGTATTATAATAATAAGTCTCTAATTAGGACGTCCAGGTGGCAGCTTTATTGCGAAGAAAAAGCATTTTTTATAATAGATGTCGCTAGGTGCGCTTAAATGTG